GCGCAGCCGAGAAAGGCATTGATACGTGGGCAGCTGATGGAACCACCGAGCTGATCAAGGCGGTTGTGACGGCGTACCAGAAATGGCAGATTCTTGGTCTCGCCGACGTGTATCACAAGATCAGCGTATCGGAGATCCGCCAACAGACACTCAGTGCCGAGACAGCTCGAAACCTCGAGACTGACAAGGAGGTGGAGCAACTCCTGCAGGATATGGTCACCATCGGAATGCTTCAGGGCTCATTGGAGGTCAGCCCTGATGGCGTCAAGTGCCTCATCTTCCTCCCGCGTGACACGGAAATCGAATACAGCGAGTACCAGAAGAAGATCACAGACGACGCGCGCATCAAGGCGTTGAACAAGTTTGCCGAGGTTAGCGATGTTCGTCTTGCCGCGTCAAAGGACTACGCCAAGCACATCATTCGTGAGCAGAAGCGCCAAGACAAGGACAGCTCTCAGTCGCACAACACCGAGTTCGGCTTCGACGCATCCATCGAGGACGAAGATCTCATGACGGGTATTCAACATCCTTAGTACCTTTACCGGGTGGGCCATCCTTCGAAGATGATCTTTCGATGTCACTGCAGTTCGCGCCTTTTTTGACGAAGTAACGAAGGCACGAAGTGAGGGAAGGAGGGTAGTGAGATGATTTCTTGCATGAGAAGAAGAGCGAAACGTAGTGCTGCATGAGATTTGACCTCGGCATACTGGGGGCATCAGGCTGGCGTTACGAGATCAGGTTCACAAGGGATATTGCTTTGATTGCCAAAAGAGGCATTTGCGACACCATCAGCAGAAATGCAAGAGCCCGAGTTCTTGGGACTGACTATGGTAGATTAGGTAGAGAAAGAAGAAACCGCAAAATAGTATTCTCTTCCGGCATTAGCACGTTTGCCCGAGCGTATTGTTCCGTTGACTCTCATGTGTTCGCGGTCCTTTGCCTCATAGCTCATCAAATTTTTGATCGCCCCTTCTAACTACCTAAGGGTTCTTCACGCAGATGCGTGAGCTACCTTTCCATCATTAAAGTACACATACAACGGCCTCCCTTCCAAGCATTTTTACGAGCTGATACCAAATTGCTTAATGAGATCCGCAAGCTTAGCTCCCTCGGCCTTGTAGTCGATCTGCCCTGCGCTCAAGACCTGGTAGCGTACCCTGAAAAAGGTTAGTGTTTGAAAAATCAGCTGCGGTCAAGGAATCATCATACCTCTGAGCTTCGCCGAAGGTGTCCATCTTCGCACGACATCGGAAGTTTAACTTGGTGCAATTCGCTTGCTCGAATGCCTGTGCCATCTTCGTTTCATCCTCCTCGCGTAAAGCCATAAGATCGTCTGCCGACATGCCCATGATGACACGACCGACATCATCGAAGCAGCTGAGCCACAGCTGGTTGGTGTGATCGCACACGTTGATGGACATGATGTACCGATATTCGGGCTTCGGGTGGGCAACATCGCACTTCTCGCAACGCCAGGTACCATCACCCATGTCAGTTACCTTCTTGTTGCAGCCCTCGTTGCTACATGCGGGATAAGCAAAGTTCTCCTGCTTGATGTAGACAATGGTAGCCTTGAGGTTGAAGTAGTCTTGGTTCTCCATGCCCAAGTTCTCCTCCTTCACCTGGAGAATGGACTTGTCCTGGTCCTTGCGGCCAGTGGCATTGCCCATGCTGGCCATGTTGTTGTGGCTGCTGAAGGTATCATTGCGACCAGATGAGTCATACCAGCCCTTCAGACGGTGAGCATCAGGAATATCCGGGTCAATGGACATCGTGCCAGAAGAAAGCAGGCTGAGACTGCGACCACCAAAGTCAGACACCTTAGTACCCTTGAAAGCCACGACAGACTCAGGCTTGGCGTCAAAGTTAGTAGCGCTCTTGCCCCAGATGGTGACGCGAACTGAGTAATTCGTGTCGTCGACCAACGTGAGCTCACGCTTCTCGTAAGGCTTGCCAGTCGACTTGGAGACGATTTGGGACACCTCAGCGACCTCCTTCAAAACGCCAATAACGTCAACGGTCGCATCCTTCTCGACTTCCTGAAGCTCTTGAATATTGCAGAAGTTGAACCGCACCTGCGGCACACTACTCTGATCCTCTGCCTTCTCGATCTGGGTATCGCGCTCGAAGGTGAGCTCGTAGTCGTTCGGCAGGTTTGTGAATTGCTTCTTGGCAAGTTGGACTTTGCAAGGGTTGGAGATGTAGTAGACACCTCCCTCCTGAAGCAGATCGTAGTACTGGTCACATTGGTCGTTGAAGCCGGTTGCCTTGATCTCGCCACTCTCGTCAAGCAGGTTGACACTGAACAGCTTGCCCTCGCCACTAGGCTTGTGCCATGTCCGGATGTCTGACTTTTGCGTGACGCGAGCCTTGATGGTCCACTTATGAGCGTAGGGAGAGAGGGCTTCGATAGGGTAGATGTTATTGCTTCCATGCTGGCCGGTGGCACCTCCAGCAGAGCGCGTGGGTATCGATTGAGGCTTTGGTGTGGGCTTGGTCTCCTCTTGCTTGACACCGTAGAAGTTCTGTCCGCCGATGGTCGTGTTTGCTGCTGCAGGAGGCTTCGCTTCAAAGGCTTGAGGCTCGCCGAGCTTGTCTGGTGTGCCGAACTGCTCGACAACCTCGAGGCCGAGGATAATCAGAATGCTTTCAGAGGTTAGGTCAATCCTCTCGAGAAATTCAACAAAGAGAGGCAAAGAAACACGTACTTCTTCCCCTTCACGGAGTTCGCTTGGTACTGAGTAATCCGCACGATGCAGTTTCTGACCAGCTTGTTGTCGTGGACAACATGGTTGACCTGCGTAGCCAACATGCACTGAACATAGTTGCTCACATCGCTGAGAACAATCCGGTATCTCTCCGCGTTACCTCCTGCTTGTGCGGCCAAAGGCTTGATCTGCAGGCACTGAAGAACCGGGACTGGGAATTTCGTGTTGGCACCTTCGGGGTCGTTGAAGATGGCGCTGCACCCGCTCAGTCAGTACGGAAAGGGTGAGAAGGGCAGTAAATCATAGAATCACTCACTCCAAGGCTCCCTTCGTGATCTTCGATTCGACATCCATCTTGAGGGTTGGCGAAGATGAAGTATCGTGTGCAAGTTTGTTGGTTGAGAATGGTGAGGATTTGGAGGTTGAGGCAAGTTCTTCGCGAAATGGAGGAGGAAAGCGCGTCGACGCGTTTAATGGCTTTTGGCGGGGTTCTTGCCTTCCGTTAGGTAAGCTGGTAATTAACGAGTCCTGCTATTTCTCACATGCCCCGTGGTGGCCAGTTGCCTGTCATGCCTGCCCGTGTCGTCTGGATTCAGCGTGGGGAAAGATGGTAGCCCGGTACGTACCTAACTTTAGGTGGCAGCGACTTCACGCGGGGCAGCTACAAGCATCAAGCTGAGACGTCATCCCTGGTGGTGTTACGAGCTATGTACACGTACCTCTCAGTCCAGACTTGATCCAAACGTTGCGCCAAGGGATACAGACTTCTACTTTGACAGTGCATCCTGCATTTCTGTGAGCCTACATTAACATATCGCAACATCTTGTACTACTTTCGACCTCAGAGCCGTTTGCCTCGTACTGCAGTGCTCCGCACCGATACTCATAACCCCGCTCAACAAGATGACCCAGATCGAGCCTGATATTGCGACGAAAGCTCCCGAGAGCGACGCCGCTGAGACTATCACTGTCACCGAGCCCGTCACCGAAAGCACCTCTGCTGCCGACACTCCGGCTCAATCCACCAGCCCTACGACGACTACGGGAGGCGCTGGAGAGCACAGCGAACACTGCGTGTCCGACAGACCAACTCGTGAGCTCCCTCGCTGAGCCTCTGCTGTCATTTGCGCAAGACTGACTCGAAACAGCGTCCGGCCAATCCTCGACGGGAGAGATAATCAAGATCAACGGTGTCGAAGTGAGTAGATTACCTGTCATACAACTACGGGCACATCGTGACCACGGCCAGCGACTAACCCATGCAAGGTCTACATCTCGAAACCCGCCGACTACCCTCATGCGCCAGCCAGGCTTCTTCTCCTCCTGACGGGAGGCACTGGTCTCAAGTCCACAAATAACCAGCTTCAAGCCGATAAGTTTGCTAGTGAGGGCTACGTAGTGGTCATGCCCGATCTCTTCAACGGTGATGCCGCGCCCAATTCGTCGACCATCGAAAGCAGCGAGGACACCGGATCGTTCCTGGACACTTTCAAGATGAAGATCGTCGAGACGGCCAAGAGTTTCCAAATTGATATGTGGCTGGCGCGACACACAGAGGAGAAGGTTCTGCCGATTCTCTACAAGGTCATTGAAGGCTCGAAGGAGAAGTTCGCCGATGCGGTGAAGAACGGCGACGGCATCTACGCTGTCGGCTACTGCATTGGAGGACGCTATATCCTTCACTTGGGCTCAGACAAGAAGGTCGCGACAGGAGGTCAAGAACTTGCCGATGCCGAGGCCGGCGAAGTGAAGACTGGTCCTTTCATCAAGGTCGGCGCGATAGCACACGGTGCTTCTGTCACCCCTGATGACTTCACGGGCGTCAAAGTCCCCATATCTCTCGTCTGCGTCGAGAATGATCCTCTGTTCCCTGAGGAGGTCAGAACACATGGCGAGGACGTCATGTCAAAGGCAAACCTCGAACACGAAGTTCAGGTGTACCCCGGCGTGCCGCATGGTAAGGCCCAAAAGTCTGCCCTTACCTAATAAGGCGTTAATCGAATGCTAACCTTCACGACTAGGTTTCGCTGTTGTTGGCGAATATCAGGACACAGCTATCAAGGACGCTCAGACTACCGCTTACGACCAAATGCTGAAGTGGATCAAGGAACATTGAGAATAGGGAAAACGGTCCTCGTATGCTTTTTATGGCCTTGGCTTCTGTGATGGTCGCTCATCTCGCGGCTTTTGATGATATCAGTGCTTTATAGGAACTTTTCTACGGCCCAAGGGGATATTTTTATATCAATGCTACAAGTTCCCCGACAAATTCCTCTCCAGGTGCCAATGACTTTACATCAAGTCTTTTCTTGCTGTCTCCGCATCGCTTGTAAAGCTCGAATTCCTCCTCCCGGAATTGATGGCAGTGGTAGAACTGTAACTGCACTTATCTGTTGGCGCTGATTTGGCGCCCGAAGAGTTCACTGCCACCCGCATCTCGAGCGAATGGTCTTGGAAGACTCGCTGCGACCCCGAATTCGTTCCATGCGTCCTGTTCGTGAGGTTTGCCGATGCATCCTTGATTTGCCGGCCAGTCTCACGCACAATCTGTCTTGCATTGGGCATGCAGGCAACCACTACGCCAGTGCAGATCTCAATGGCAGACCAGATCGTGGTCCCACGCGCATCAGCTGTCGCATTTGCGGATGTCGCGAATGAAATCAGGCTGCGAAGGCGGACAACACTAACTACCGTGAGGCTGATTTCTGGTCAGCGTCTTCAAGCTCAGTGACTGAAGAAATCCGGGAGCCCACTCACAAGATACCAACACTGAACATGGCAATGATTCCGAGCTTCTTCTTCATCTTGAGGTTCAACTTATAGAGCTGTGTCAACGGCAGAATGAGCATCCAGACATCGAGCGCGATGTTCATGCCGCCATGTGACAAGCCCATTTTGTTGAGGTCGAGGATGACTCCACGGGGTTCCTTGTCACGCCAGCCCTCCCAGATGAGCCATGTAGGCTGTCTCTGGACGAAGCTGAATACGATGAATATGAATCCGACGAAGAGGTCGTAGGCTAGCGTCCACCAGACTGCGATCCTGAATTTCTTGTCCGGAAAGATGCGGAGGAAGAACAGGAGAATAGATGCCTTTACGATGGAGAGGATGAAGACGTAGAGTGTTTGGACCATTAAGAGGTACTGCAAATGGTTAGCTGATGTTTGAAGAAACCCTCTGTAGTGGAGTCGGTCGATCTCGATAGTACTCACCCTGAGAAAGGTAGTAATCTGATAGTCGTGGAGAACCCAGATATCAAGCCCTAGACCTTGCGGTATCACTGCAGAGCTGTGTTAGCCATATTCTTCTCAGTGGCTTCTTTGGAGAGTTGACTTACTGTACTGAATCAAAACTATGAACGGGATCAAGGCGGCCTACCCCGACGCCTTAGCCAACGTCAAAAAGAAGATGTAGACCATTTGTGAAAAGGGTACACTCACAAATGCAACTACCATCAAAGTATCGTCAGCTCCCCAAGGAGAGTACCTCATGATTTTTACTGTAATTCGGCATGCGAAGAAGGCGGACGCAAGTATGAACATGCCAAGACTGGTCGCTCTCGACTCGTGGCGATAGTCTGACAGAGGGAATCCACATGCAGTTCTTGTGATATTGACAAAGGCTGTAAATGCAAGGCTCCGTTAAAAAATTCGGTATTCTTGTAATGAGGTGAGTAGAGAATAGCAATGCACTCACTCAGGGACTCGACCACGCTACATCCTTGTTGCACGCAACTCCCGACAAAGTTGTTGAAGCCTTCGTCGACACATAATTCCGCCTGCGACTGGTTCGCAAATGCAGGCTGGCTCATTGCCTGAAAAAGACACTTCGTCTAAACTCTGTCGTTAGCTTCCTCGACAATCGGACATTGTAAACCTTAATCCTCGACTAAGAAGACTGGGACGATGTGACCACTTACAGAACACTGTGGAGCATCAGCCAACGACTGCGCGCCAGCGAGCCTCAAGAGGCACGATGCTCCAACGGCGACGATGAATCGCAGAGTCAACATTGCGGGACTCGTCTGACAGCGAATGTGCACACACAAACACGAAAGCCGCAAAGAATGACCGAAAGGAGAGGGAGAAGCCGGTGGGAGCGGACGTAAGAAAGGGAGGGCCTCTAAGTCAAGTTATTACCTACCCTTTCTTGTTGTGCTTGATGACGGAATCGGTACCCAGGGGGCCTAGCCCAGCGCCCATCTCCAAGTTGCGATTTGCGAGGCGACTTCAGAGGCTCAGAGACGAGTACGCCAGAAACGGCGTTGGTATGGCTTTCCCCCTCTCCTTTGAACTATTGATCCTGTCTGATGTTCCCCCCTGCCTTGGGCGTACGTTAGCGGCGCAGAGCTTATCGCCATCGTCTGCCCCTAATCGTTTCACAGTTTCAGCCTGGGAAGAGAAAGGCGATACTGTAGGAATTCCAGAGCTTCTGACGAAGGGTACCAAACTCGTGAAAACCAGTCCATGCCAGCTTGATGAGGCTGTACTTCAAAGGAAGAGAGCAGCCTGCTCTTGCCACGTCTTGGAATGTCTTAGGAGATTGCGTTGCGCCCGCAACCAGCTAGGATTCCGCTAAAGATTGAGGGAAAAGAAACCATCGAACCAGAAAGCGTGAGAGCGTAACGGAGTACACTCCAGCCCGCCCGCGGATCCTCTTCCGGACTGCTGGTCAAAAGCCAAGTTCGCCGCGAGCAGTCAGCCTCCTTTGAACTCTAATCACCCCGTTCCCACCCCAGATCGCTCTCGCCCTATGCCAAGCTCTCCCAACTTTCCCCAAGAGCCCACAAGTGAGAACGGCTGGGTTCGGAGGCTTGCAATAGCCGGTAGATGATGAGCAGAAAAAAAGAGGACCTTCCTCCAATGAGCGGGGGATGCTCGTCACTGCCCATGGACGGGCACTTATCCGCGCCATGGTCAACTTGAATGCGATAAACCCAGTCAGCCACGGGTGGCGGAATCGGGTGAGGTCTTCTTTGTTCTGAAGTTACCCGAGATGACCGATATACAGGGCGTTTCGGGGCTTTGAGAGCCCCCGGTTCGCCGTGGCCTTCTCGGTCCGTAGACAATGGTCCAGGAGACTCCCGAAGAATAGAAATCAATAACACCAACACAATACGCAGATGGAAATGTCGAAATCACATAATGTGGAGCCGCAGAGTTATTTGAGCAGGCACTCCTCAGCCTGGCATTACCTATGCCGACCAGTTGTTATTAGAGCTTGAAAGTCTTGAACCAAGTTCGACCAGTGATCTGCAACGCCCCCTCTACGAAATGGTACAGATGATCTTTCCCGAGTTCTTGTTCGCCTCCAGGTGCGCATGAGCCTCTTGTATCTTCTCCCACGGAAGCACCGTATCAATTACGACCTTGAGCTTGCCCGTCTTAAAGTGCGGCACATACTCCTCCAACCGATCCCTCAACTTGCCCTGATACTCCACGTCCCTGCTCCGCAACGTGCTTCCCTCAAGCCTGATCCGCTTGTACAGCAGAGGCCCAATGTTGGCCCCCTCGATGTTGGGCCCGCCCAGCAGGCCGAGCAGGACGATGCGCGCGTCCCGCGCCGCGACGTCGAGGTTCTTTTGGAAGTAGCCGCCCCCGACAAAGTCGACAATCACGTCCACGCCCTTGCCGCCCGTCGCCTCCTTGATCTTCTCGGCCCAGTCGACCTCCCTGTAGTTGAAGGCCGCCGTGGCACCGACTTTGTTGACCACAAAGTCACACTTCTCGTCGGACCCGGCCGTCGCGTAGACGGCGGACGCACCCGCGTCCTTGGCCAGCTGGATGCCCGCGATGGAGACGCCAGAGGCGCCGGCGTGCCAGAGGACGGATTTGCCCTTTGAGAACTCGCCTACGAGGAACAGGGCTTGCGTGGCGGTGATCCAGGTCTAGTGTACACTCATGGTCAGCATTTCACGAATGCCGACATCGGTGGTGCAAACAGATGACGGGGAAACCATGCAGGCTTTTAGTTTTCTTCTTACCTCTGGAACACCAGCGGCCTGCTCCCAGGACAGGAAATCGGGCTTGTGCAGCAGCATCTTGCTATTGACGGCAATGTACTCGGCGTATGCGCCACCGTACGCGAGGCCAAAGACCTCATCTCCAGCCTTGAAATTGCCGTGGTCGCCCGAGCCAAAGGATTCAATAGTCCCGCTGAATTCGACTCCCAGGGTCTTGGGGGCCTGGGGCGGGAGCGGGTAATTGCCAAGACGTTGGATCTGGTCCATGCGGTTGATGCCAAAGGCCTTGATCTTGACCAGGGCCTCACCTTCGCCCGCCGTGGGCTTTGGCGTGTCGGCATTGATGAAGAGGTTCTCCTTGGGACCTTTGCCGTCCTTGATGTCTGTAGTTTTTTGTATTTGTAAGCCATTTGTCTGTCATGTACGATGAAAGGCATGTTCGACTCACCAACTGCTCTCATTGTTGAGGTCATTTTGATAAAGTTTTCTGATCTTGATTTCAACCTTGCCAATCTGCACTTGAGAAGTTAACTTGAAAAGAATGAAAGAGATTTGTCAGTAGCTCGAGAAGATGAAGTCTCACCGAGGTCCCCGTTCGGTTCCCCTCAATGACGTGCATCCGGGCCCACTGACTAATCCACTCGGGCGCCCCCGTGCCGCTCCGTAGCCGGCTCCAATATTCCGGTGCCGTGTCCGCATGGTTTCCAACCACAGCTCCGGGAAACGCTACTTGTAGTCTCCGTTCAATTTTCTTGGCCGTAAAGTTCATATACCTCATCTTACGCAGTCTGAAATATGCCTGAGTTGCAATGACTGAGACTACCATGTATGAGCGACAAGCTTACAGGCTTAGTTCAGTATCATCTTTGGTCAATTTCCCTACTGGAATGGGGGTTTCGATGAAGTGAACGCGTTAGTTACTGTATCCCGAAAGTCTCTCAAGAAACACAAGCTAGAACGGACCTGAATTATCCTGATTTACGCAATTCTGAGGTATTCTATCAGTGTTCCGCAGGATCTCAAGGGTAAGTCAGTCTGTTGCTGTTTCTCTTACCCTATTGACTTCCTCGACTTTCCACATTGATATTCCAAGACGTCCCAGCTCCAGAGACCTGAAATACTCAAGGCGCTTTTAGCGGCAGCGGCAGCTCGTCGAGATATGTATCCCACGTATCTAGGGTAGCCCCCAACTCCTCGGTCACGAAAGACTGCGGGAAGAGGAGAGGGATTGATATAAATCCCGTTCGTGGTTCTGACTATCAGTTATTCATGTTTCTCACTCGATAGTGTATCCCGTGGAGCCAAAATGACTATCGATCACGAGATTGAGGCGCCTTTATAATGGTGACATCAAATGACGGTGAGCCGGTAAAACGGTGGTGCATGGCCTCGTAAGATACCAGGCAAAATGGCGCCGGCAACTGACGAGTTTGCATAGTTCGAAGCAAACTCATCGAGGGCCGGGGAGCTCACAGGGCGGATCTAAACTAGACTAACCAGCACAAAGGCCAAGCGAGAACACCCTCCCTCGCCGCCTGCTCAATCCTTTCAATGTGTTTTGTTTTCAAATTCGTGCAAGACTCGTAAAGCTTCATGAAAGAAGAATACTCGGCAGCGGGACACCAACGTTCTCACTTCGCGTCAGGCGTCGCCGAGCATGCGAGCCAAACGAGAATATTTTTGTCTTCTAGCCTGGTCACCTGGAAGTAAGCTTCTAGCTAGCATAAGTTGAAGTACCCCAGATCAGGCTGTCAAGATTGAAGTGAGGTCAGTCAAGGATTCCCTAGGCACAGAGTGGTTCTCCAGATCTTGACATATAGTCTATCTACGGGCAGCCGATGAAGCTAGTAGTGAAATGCTGGCATGAACTAGGAACTGGCGTACCGCTTAATGGATGAGACTATAGAACTGGATACGCAAACTTTAGGCTTGAAAGACTCGAAAACGGATGGAATGAGGTGGGTTGATACGTGTTGCAATTGCCCGGCTGATGAAGTTTTACGAGCCACTTGTCTCTTGAGTACCTCCATATAACGATAAGCATAAAGAGAGGATGAAAGCTGCAGGCATGGAAACACGATGAAAGTGAGCCGAAGAGAGGGGTAAAGGATGAAGATCGGGCAATAGTCCCAATTGAGTTGAGCAAAGTGTGTGTTGTGTGGAAATTAATTGATGGTCAGGGTGCGCTGTAACACCCCGAATTGGCCTGGCCAGGTTGCTGCACAGGCCACCAGGCACACCACCGCAACCCGTGGGCCGCAGGCGGCCGGGAACATGTAGCCCCCGCTAAGCCTTCTAGGCCGTTGGAGGCGAGTGTGCCCGTCTGGACCAGAACGATTCAGCTCGCTAAACTGCATTGATACGAATACAAACGCCAGATGCCTCGAGTTCGAACGAGGGGTCAGTCGTGAAGCCGCTGAGTCGGGCGAGTTAGGTGGTGACATCTCGGAATGAGCCAGATGAGCTCCCTGTAAGTGATCAAAGTGTTGGGTGAGTTCAAATCCACAGCTGCGGCGGAGACATCTATCAATGATAGGACGGATGCCATTGTATGGGATCTTGGAGTTGTTTTCTGCTTGTTTTTCTCCCTAACCGGAAGGTAGAATATACGAAAAGGAGAGTGAGGCTTTGGAAAGACATTCGCTGTGTCACTCGTTCGTGGCGGTATCGCGTCTGATACATTTTGGCGCTATTCGCGTCAAATGTGTCGATTCTGCCTGGACAGTGATATATCCGCATCGGTCCTTCGTACAGATAAATATAACCTGTTGACGTCGTTCGGGTTCCGTGGAGAAGTTGGCCGCAGATTCCACCTCACAACATGGCAGGATCTCGATGCGGTGACAGGCAATGGTCAACGTCGATTTTATCTGAGCGATTAAGATAGCCTGTCTCCGCTGTACGCAACGACTTGGACTCAAACGGCGGGCAACGGTTCTCTAGAACTTAGAAGAAAACCTGCCACAACGGAGGCCGGAGAGTGCTAGGGCCCCGGAGACCCTTAGGGTGTGAGTGTGACCTCTTGAATGTGTCCCCTGCACCCCGCGAGA